TTTGTCGTGTCGTGGTTGCGAATCAAGATGCCACTCGAAGTTGCTGAGTATGAAGAGTTGCAAGTTATTGTTGTAAGATCAAATCGTTGTTGCTGAAGTGTGATACTGCGGGATTGTCGCTGCAAAAATGAGTTTGTCATTGTTGTGAACAGAAGACTGCCAAGCTTGTTTTGTTGTCATTCGGGTGAAGCCCTAAATCAATTTTTTGGGTTGTTCACCATGGAGACGAAGTTGGGACTGCGATGTACGGTCATGGAGAGGTTGAGGTGTAAATATGGTAAAAGTATTATAGCGAAGGGAGGTGTTGATGAAGGGTGTTCGGTGCCGGTGAGACGGTTGTGCCACGATGGGGATGAAGAGAGTGTGACAAATGGTGAGTTGAAGATGGAGGAAGACATGGGTGAAGGAAGGGTTGAATGTTGGTGAGTAAAGAGATATTGAAGATGAGTGTGAGGGTTTGGCGGAAGGGATTTGTGAGAGAAGAAGGAGAAGATCCTCTCCTTTCTATTTTCCTTTGGGTTTCGTTTGAGAAAGATAATTGTTGAGAGTCCGTTGGCCAGAATGAGTGGAATGGTACTGTTTTTAAGGCCGCATTTGGATGAGACTGGAATAAAAAACCTTTTTTCCTCTTTCCTTGCTGACACGTGTCCCCCTCTTTTAGATTTTTCAGATTTTCCTCTTCTAAATCTCCACTTAAGGCGCTGGGTGGGGGAGTTTTTTTATTCTCTCTTTATTTATTATTATTATTATTATTATTATTATTATTATTAATTCTATGTTATTATTATTATTATTATTATTATTATTATTATTATTATTATTATTATTATTATTATTATTATTATTATTATTATTATTATTATTATTAACAAAACAAAAAGCCAACTCATAAAGTCCATGTGTCTACATATTATTGGGTGAGATGACAAAATTCTAAAAAACTAACCAATCAAAAATAGACAAGTATCTCTTAATTAATGACTAAAATAATTATTTTCTAATTTTAATAATTAAAAAAATAGAATAAAAATACTAAATTATGATTGGCTAATGAGAAAAAGTGAGGATAATGCATGTGCACCCTTGATTAAACTTAAATCTAACGATTCATATTTAATCAAAGAAACATACTTAATTTAAAATGTCAAAGTTGTCCCTTCTAGAAGTTTAAACTAATTTAATAGAATTAAATCAATTAAAAAACTAATAAAATCACAACTTGTTAAATAAACATGATAAAAATAAAAATGCAAACATGGAAAATTTAGTTATTTTGAATATTTTGATGAAAATATTAAAAAAATTGAATGAAAAATGAATAAAATCGTGCGATAAAGTGCCCTAAAAAATAAATCGACCGCATAAAAATGATTAGCGCGGAATAAACGACTTGGATAAATACAACGTTTGGTCAAATTTGAGGATTCACCAGGATCGGTAAAAAGGCTCAGACTGATCGAAATGTGACTGAAAAAGCCTTCGAAGAATAAGATGAACACACCAGGTTAAACTTTACAAATAGTAGATCAATATTACTGACGTCTGCGAGCTTAAATTCAAAAAAAATTATTCACTTATTTTTACCCATTTGGGAAACAATTCGACTAGCCTGTCTGTATATTCGAGTATCCATTATGGCTAATCACTTTTTAGGGTTTATTCATGGTAAAAGACGTGATGTTATGCAGTCGATGCAAAACTGAAAATAAAATCGAATGCAAAATTTTTAAAAAAAGAGTAGGACAAATTAGGGGTATGACAGATGCCCTTATTTAATTGGCTTAAACCTAGTAAAATAAATTGTTGCGGCGTTCATTGCTTCGAGGTAGAAGTCAATTAGATATGAAGAAGACTCTGAATTTGTCTGAAGAGAAAAAAATTGCTTGGGGAGGTGGAATAACAGATCAATGTCAACCCTCGAGTGGGCACTAAATAACTTGCAAAGGTCGTTATCACCAAAAGGATGATAACGAAAATTAGTGATCCAAGGATTACTGACACCAAAAGGATGACAAATCTATCACCAAAAGGATGATAGAGAACACACATATAAGATTCTGACATCAAAAGGATGGCAGACCTATCACCAAAAGGATGATAGTAAACTTACACGACTCGTCTTACTATTACCAAAAGGATAATAGTAAGTACACACACAGACAGATCCTTCACCAAAAGGATGAAAATGAGGTTTAAACTCGCTATTACCAAAAGGATAATAGTAAGCAAACACATAGATTTCTGACACCAAAAGGATGACGGATCTATCACCAAAAGGATGATAGAAAACACACAACTCTGACACCAAAAGGATGACGGACATATCACCAAAAGGATGATAACAGACTCACACGACTCTGACACCAAAAAGATGACAAACCTATCACCCAAAGGATGATAGTGAACACACGCAACGACCCTTCACCAAAAGGATGAAAGTGAGGTCCAAACTTGCTATTACCAAAAGGATAATAGTAGGCATACACGCAGATTTCCGACACCAAAAGGATGACAGATCTATCACTAAAAGGAAGATAGATAAACTCACACGAATTCGACACCAAAAGGATGACAGATCGATCATCAAAAGGATGATATAAGACACACGATGCAGGATTTGTGACACCAAAAGGATGATAGAGAACATGTAACACAATGAACCTTCACCAAAAGGATGAAAGTAAGGTCAAAACCCACTATTACCAAAAGGATAATAGTAAGTACACACATATTTCCGACACCAAAAATATAACAGATCTATCACCAAAAGGATGACAATGAACAACTTCGACACCAAAAAGATGACAGATCTACCACCAAAAGGATGATAGAGAACACACACAACTCCGACACCAAAATGATAGCATATCTATCATCAAAAGGATGATAGAGAATACACACACAAAGATATCTGACACCAAAAGGATAATAGACATATCACCAAAAGGATGATAATGGACACACGATGACCCTTCAACAAAAGGATGAAAATGAGGTCAAAACTCGATATTACCAAAAGGATAATAGTAAGCATAAACAAATTTTTGACACCCAAAAGGATGAGAGACCTATCATTAAAAAGATGATAGTAAACACAACTCCGACACCAAAAGGATGACGAATCTATCACCAAAAAGATGATAGATCACACACACACACACACAAAGATATCTAACACCAAAAGGATGACAAACATACTCTTAACATGTGAACTATTTTATATCTTGGGTCGAGTAGAGTGGACTTGAGATGGATTGAGTCTTGGTCAAATAGGCCTTTTGGCCGGTCTAAAACATTATTAAAAAATAATAACTAACATTTATGCATGTTATCAGTAAGGGACTCATATGTATGAAAAAGTGAATCTATAGGTTAGCTCGAAATTGAGGTATTGTCACTCCTTCACCAAGTTTTGAGGTCATTGGTACAATTGTAACTCCCAATTTTAAATGTATATCCATACTTAAAGATGTTCAAATTCAAAATCGAAACAAACCTAAAATGGATGACCTTTGTTAAGAAAAGCGAGTGCAACTCCCAATTGTTAATTCATTAACAAACTCATAATGGATCTTAAAGCAATAAATATGGTCATTCGATGAATATAAAAGTTAGTTTGCAAGCAAGTATGACTCTTTGAATTTATTTATGATGAAGATTTTGTTTACGCTAATCTCTAATACAACCCAAATGCCCCCCATTTACATTATTTTAATTTCACATAAAATATTACATTTGATCACAAACAGTAATAAACGACTTTAACCTCAAGTCGTCATCTAACTACCTCAATTAAAGATTTTGGGGAGCAATTGTTTTAGACTAGGTCAAGTCTAAACCCATAATAAAACATGTCACTTCAAAGTAGTTATCCCAAAATATACCATACTAAATACGCAACTTTGAAGCACATCCAAACAAGTTCAGAGATAAAACCAAGACTTTGGTAAAACTTGAGTTTTAAAAACTATAATCCTCCTCCTATAAAAAGTAACCTATGATAAGACTCTAATCATTCTTCTATGAAAATTAACTTATGATTTTGTTAGTCTTAGAGTTTTTGCCCAGCATTTCGATATGAGATCAAAAATGTATATAAATGCTAAAGATAAATAGTTAAATTTTGATTTTGACATCAAGAGAACTTCTCACAAATTCGACAAGATTAAGCAACTTGAAGACGCTTCTGACAACATGAGAGGTTTTGAAGTAGTTGAGAAATGTATGAACTTGCGTCTCCAGAACTTCTACATTTATATCTTTTAACTTTTATCCAATTGTTTTAAATTCAAACATAAAACTATACAAGACTACCACCATTTTTCAAATATTTCACACAAAGTGTTATTTTTTTCGAGTTTAATTTTTTAATTGAACTAAAAGTTGTAAATTGTTTACCAAAAACACTAATAAACTAATTTAAAAGTTAAAATATTCACACTCACGATTTACAAGTAACTTAATCGTTAAAATATTTGTTCATAATATTTATAAATAAACCACTATCTATATGAAACAAATACCATATTAAATCTTAAATCGAATTTGAATCAAAGTATAATCGAATTTGCTCATCCCTCAAATTATGTTTTAGGCTTAAATCTTATATCGAATGTGGATCAAAGTACAATAAATAATATATATATATATATATATATATATATATATATATATATATATATATATATATATATATATATATATATATATATATATATATATATATATATATATATATATATATATATATATATGAAAGTACCAACAAATTTGATTTTAATTGTAAAATAATTGAATTAATATTATAAAATAAATATTAAAAAAATCTTTTTTAAGAGCATGATAAAATTGGTGACAAAAAAACAAAGAAAAGAAAAGTAGGTGATGCGAAAGTAAAGAAGGAACGAAAAGATAAAAGGACAAGCGGTTGAAATTGAAACTCATAGAACGGTGAAACAATAACGAAACCTGCTTCTCTGTGCTAGATTCAAGAAAAAAAAATGGAGATTTCAACACAACAACTCAGCGCGTACAACGGCACAGATCCATCGAAGCCTATATACGTTGCGATGAAGGGTCGCGTGTTCGACGTCACCACCGGCAAATCGTTCTACGGTCCCGGCGGAGCCTACGCTATGTTCGCCGGCAGAGACGCGAGCAGAGCACTGGCGAAGATGAGCAAAAACGAAGAAGACATCACCTCGTCGCTGGATGGACTCACCGAGAAAGAGATTGGAGTTCTCAATGATTGGGAAACGAAGTTCGTCGCTAAATACCCTATTGTTGGAACCCTGGTTAATTAACTCAACTCTCTAATCTATATCATGAATCATCATATCTATATCATGAATCATCATACTCTGGAGTGTGTTTGTATGAATCTGTTGTTGAATTTGAATCCCTTTGTTTCGATAATAATTAGAACTTTTAATTTGTTCAAAGGGGTTTTGTGGTAATGTAAAACAATGTCATACTTATCTTGAATCATTCAATAAATTAATATTGGAGTGATTGATTGGGGTTATGTATTCAAATATACCCAATTATGTCTTTGTTGTAGTTATTGAATTTGTGCATGAAAGTGAAATTGAAAAATGAAATACTGCTGTGTTTTTTTTGCATGTTTTTGTCATATCTCTCGTTTGATAACAGGTGAAGAAAGTTGGGAGATAGGAATTTAGGCCATGTTTGGATTTATAGAACATAACAGCGTCAAATGGAATGGAGCATAATGAAATATTGATTTCACTTCATTAATTGGTTATTTTATTAAAGATATCTCATTGAAACAAGAAATGAATTACCACTTCATTTCATCACATACCACAAATCCAAACATACTTTTAGTGTCTGAGTGATGCTTGTTGAGTCTATTATCGTGGGCTACGCTCAGATGGAAAATATGTGTTATAATGGAGATTTTCTGATAAAAATTTATGTATTTTTAAAATTTTAGTAAAAACTTTCATAAATCTATAAAAATTTAAAAAATTCGAAAAAATTCGAAAAACACTTGCTAGGTTTAGTATGTTTCAACTAATTTGACCTAAATTAATTAACTAGGTTGCTTATGACTAAAATGTGAAGGCCAAATACCATTGAGCATGATGATCTTATTACTTAAAGACTAAACTTCTTCAAAATCTCTTTTTAGATACGGGCCATGTTTTGCCAACTAATAATGCTGACATGACTCATGAGTATCTTCAATGACAACTAAAAAATTAGTGATGGTGGTATTACATGTTAATCAAGAAGCAGCTTTGTACATATCAATGTGATCTTCACGTCACATGATGCAGTTTTAAAGATTAAATTGACATTGTAGGAAAATAAATTTGGTGCATTAAAAAACATGGTTTTATCTCAACAATTGAACCAACTTTTATCATAAGACAATGGTATGACAACTATAATTTATATCATCTAATAAAGATCTCTCTTCTTTCTTTTTCTCTTATCTAACTGTGTATTTGGTTTGGCATTTCGAATTTTAAACAAACGTGGCATATTCGGGGCTGTGGAAACAAACATGTGCTAAATCTTTTCCTTAAAAAGAGAAGACAAAGAAGATAAGAAAGAGATAGATTAAACTTCTTTTCCTATTCTTCTAGACTATCACCTTTCTCTCCCTCTTCTCATTCTTTCACATTATATTTCATTTTATGAATATGATTTGACCTCATATCTTTATTCAAATTCATATTTATGTACAAGAATTTTTTTCTCATTCTCATTCAAATATATTTTTTTATCACATAACTTGCAATATCGTTATTGCATCATCAACTAGATATGTCCGCTGGTTTACTATTTTTAGGATAACTTTCAATATAAACAATTGTTCTCCTTTAAAGAGACTAATGACTATGATATCATAAGAGTCGTTTTTATGGCACACATAATGTAAAAGTTGTCACAATTAAATATGAGATAAAATTGCATAAAATATTTGTCGCATATAAATTTGATTAAATATAATCTATTTTTATTTTGTTATATTTTAACTCTGATCAATCAACCCATATTTCATAAAAGTTTAAAAAGGTTTTGGATATCATTATTAGGTTATAAAAGGAGTTTAAAAGATCCATCCTATTGAAAAAAAATAATAATTACAGAAAATAACATGTTTTTATCTAAAACTTTAAGAAATTTAGCGTATGAATAGTAATAGTAACATTTATATAATACCCAACAATTATTAATTTTTATTTAAACAAAACTTTTATTTCACAATTAAACACACAATGAACACCTACTTTCTCCTCATAGTAAATATCTATCATTAACATCCCACCGCTACTATGTCCTGTCCCACTCTCACCAAATCTTATTATGAACTCACCCCCCCATGTTCTTCATATTGATTCGATGAGTAAGAATAATCAACAATCTTTATTTCTGCCACAAAATAAAATCTTTATAAATTATCGGGATATTTTAAAATAAACTGGAAAAAAGTATTAAATTGATACTAATTTTGAACACTTACCAGTCCACTTGAGCTCATTAAATAGATTCTGCTTTACATAAAAAGTTAAAAATATTTATAACCAAATCCACACCATGAGAAACGGTTATACAATATAGAATGTATTCCGGTTAAATTTATCGGTATATTTCCTTTTTTAGCGTAAAGAAACTTGCACAGAAGACCACCTTACATAACTGAATTAATTTTATCAATACACATTATATAAAAAAAAGTTAAAATTTAATTGATATATACTGATATTATAGAACAATTTTATATTATTAATTAATCATTGTTAAATTTTAAATTACTGATATAATAGGACAGGTTTGATAAATTTCTATTAAATTAAAGTTTAAAATTTTAAATTCAATATAAATCGCATCTTTGATTAAAAAAAATCATATCTAATCTAATCTCCTAGAGCTGTACGCAGGATACGCTTCAAGATATCATGATCAAATTAATCATGATTAATAACCGAACGAGACTCAATATAATACATATAAATAATTAGATAAGAACAACAGAATCAAAGAGAGAGAAAGAGAGAATTTACGTGTTTACAGTCTCTCAATAGTCATCACCATTCACCATCACATCACCATCTTCTTCTTTGTTCATTTTTTCTCTCATCGATCAATTTCTCTCTGTTCAGGTACGCATGCTTATTGTGCTTCTTCAATTTCTGTTTTCAGAAACTAAACTTGATGATTTTTTTACTGGTAGAAATGGGGATATATCTCAGTACTCCCAAAACGGAGAAATTTTCTGAAGATGGGGAAAATCACAGTCTTAGATATGGTTTATCGTCCATGCAAGGATGGCGTGCAACAATGGAAGATGCTGTTAGTTGCTAATTTTATGAATTGTTTTTCCTTTTCTTACATTTGTTAATGAATCTTAAGAAATGTTAATCTTGAGGATTGTAGTGGATTTATTGATCTAGGGCACTGTCTAGTTTTTTTTTTTCTCTGTGATTTCAGGAATGAATGTTGATTTGTTGAATATGTTTTTTAAGTTTCTGTGTTGCAATTTGTTCAGTTGATTTTGCCTGACTTAGATTGATTTTGGCTTGCTTGTTGATATGCTGATGATTTTTCACTCTTTTTTCTTTTGTTAGCATGCTGCATATACTGATCTGGATGAGTCTACTTCGTTTTTCGGTGTTTATGATGGTCATGGAGGTAAGATTTGAAAAATATTTGGCTAATTCGACTGATGGAAGAATGTTAGGTTTGTTACTTTGTTGCGAATTTCAAATGTCTTCTTTCTATTGTGAAAATGCAGAGTCTCCTTACACTTGCATCTTTAACTTCAATTATGATTCAATAGGTTCTTCTATTAAGTTTAGTTGAGGTTAAGTCATGATGAGTTATCCTAACCAGAAAATCATTGTTGTTAAATATTTACTACCGTGCATATTATTTTTTATAAAATCATATTTTGGTTTAGGAGAAAATCCAAAAGAAATTGTCTAATTTGTAATCAAAATTGTGTTATGTATGCTCACTTAATACCAAAAATTTTCAGGTAAGGTGGTTGCAAAGTTTTGTGCTAAGTTTCTTCATCAACAGATGCTCAAAAGTGAAGCATACTTAGTTGGAGATATTGGAACCTCTCTTCAAGAATCATTTTTAAGGTTAGATGAAAACAGGGTCTTATTTATGCTTAATGGAAGTTCCTCTGTATGTATTCTATAACTGAGTGACAAATTGGTTTCATGCTTGCCTGAATTTGAGCTTTTATACTGTTCAATACCTTCCATTTGAATATCAGCTAAAATCTGTTTGGTATTTCTTACTATACATCATTTTTTCTTTAACATATAAAGACACACAGTTGATAATGGTCTCAATTATATTTACATAGGTATGTTTCATGCATGGACCAATTGAAGGGAGTATGAAGAAACAATGTATTTTTTCATTGACTAGTTGTAGCCCGCATGTTAGTTACTAATCATGGCATTGCATTGCATAGTCTTCAACTTATTCTGTTCCATAACTTACATTATAGAGTAGATATGACGTGCGACATTATATCTTCTGTCTCTCCTGTTGTAATTGATATAGCAGAAAAAGTTCCCCTGGTTCCTAGTGTGAAATTCTCTGTCTCCCCCCTCTAAACTAGATTTTAAACTGGTATTTTCATGACTATGCAGAATGGATGAGATGATGCGTGGTCAAAGAGGATGGAGGGAGCTATCAATCTTGGGAGATAAGATAAACAAATTTACTGGGATGATAGAAGGGTTGATTTGGTCTCCACGAAGCAGCAATGGCATTAGCAGAACTGATGATTGGGCTTTTGAGGAGGTAGGTCTGACATTTGAGGATAGTTTAATACTCATCAGCACAGATTAAGTAATTGGATATACTTGGTAGTTGCTGACTGGCGTATAGCTTTAACTTTGAGCAAGGAAGTATCGTGTTCTTGGATAATATAGTATTATGTTTCTCTCGACATGCTTGTTTTATGTGAGCCTATTATGTTATGTTACACATTCTATGCATCTCCCTGATTTAAATTTATTTACTGGAATCAGGGGCCTCATTCTGATTTTGTTGGACCAACTTCAGGAAGCACAGCCTGTGTTGCAGTTATCAGAAACAACCAGCTTCTTGTTGCAAATGCTGGTGATTCACGTTGTGTAATATGTCGGAAGGGACAGGTAACTCTAGAATGGAAGTTCTTTAATGTTTATTATGCTTACTGCTAACATTGATGTAAAGTACACAAATGCATATACAGATAAATATAAAATGCTGTTTTCATATGCCTGAGTCTGCACATTGGAAAAATTGTGTACCTCTCAATTTTATGAGTCAAATTGGTTTGGGGAATGTTTTCTAGTTATTGAAAACTGTTTGTCTCTCTGGCAAACTACATTTTTCAGTTTTATCGAAGTTATAGATCTCGCGCATAATTAAACACATTGTATAACTACTATTCTTTTCTACAGGCATACAATTTGTCTAGAGACCACAAACCAGATCTTGAGATTGAGAAGGAAAGAATTTCGAAAGCTGGTGGTTTTATTCATGCAGGAAGAGTCAATGGCAGTTTAAACCTTACAAGAGCTATTGGTAACTTATCTATGTGATTGTTGTTAAACTTTTTTGAAGAGTAGTTTAAGCTTCCTTTTTGTTCCCCCTCTTTTTCCAACTTTAACCCAAGTGAACAACCTGGGTCGGGCCTTTGTGTCTTTAGTTCATGATAATTCATGACTTCGATGAATAACATGAGCAGCTTTGTACTCCTTTTTTTAATATCGTGTATGTTATGTTTTGGTTCTTCACAAGACCTGAAGAGTTCGGTTTCAAAACACATTTAAATTTATATAAATGTCTGTTCTTAACCCTGATTTCTTCATAAACATTTTTTTATGGGATTTTGAGGGGTGAGATTGGGTATAAAGTTTCCATTCTTTAATAAATTCCAATTTACCGCAGGTGACATGGAATTTAAACAGAACAAATTTCTTCCTGCTGAAAAACAAGTTGTAACTGCCAATCCAGATATAAACACTGTAAGTTTGTCACCGTGATGCAATTCAACTAACGGCCTCAGTGATACACATATATGCCATATTTCCCATTTTCTCTACGGTATAACCCATAATTAATTTCATATATTATGACTTATGATTGATATATTATTTTTGCTTTGATATTATAATTATAGGTTGAGCTTTGTGATGAAGATGAATTTATGGTTCTAGCTTGTGATGGCATATGGTACTCTTCTTATGCCTTCATATGTCCATTTGATTATCAACATTGTGATCTATTTGAAAGATATCAATAATAATTCGCTCAATAAAATGTAATAATTGATGGTATTTTCAATTTTTAGTAACAGATGGAATTTTCATTCTAGGCACACCTTTTAGACATACAATGTTATGTGTTTATACTTTCTTGTGGAAAAATGCATTGTTTTTCATGCCTGTATCTGAGGAAATTACACTCATCTGTTTTTAAGTTTAAACACTGATGTAAACACTTTGATTTCAGAAACCAGAATAGAACTATCTGGTTCTCATATCTGCTAAAATATTATTGACACTTGGTTTGATTTTGAAATAGTGTAGGTTACACATGCCCCTTCATACATCCTGTTTTAAAATAATCATTGATTTCATCTGATTATTTCAGGGACTGCTTGTCAAGTCAACAATTGGTAGATTTTGTTCATGAACAGTTGTCTTCGGTGAGATCTAAGTTTTAATTTATTTTCTATTGTTGATAATAGCTGTCATAATTAGTCAAAGATTGGTTATACTCATCAATGATATTGAATGCAGTACCTGGTACTTTCATGGACAATCATTCTGCTATTTTTCCTAGCATTTAGTTTGAGAGAGTAAATAAATCAGTCTGCTAGTGCTCAGTAACATATCATGTTTCTTTGCCATGGACTGCTTGCACTAATATTTAATGAACATTAGAATTTATTGTAAATTTGTATGGTCGGTAACCTTTGAATGATCTTACGCTATAATTATCTTTCAGGAAACAAAACTTTCCACTGTGTGCGAAAGAGTATTTGACCGGTGTTTGGCACCATCAACTACTGGTGGCGAAGGATGTGATAACATGACCATGATCCTGGTTCAGTTCAAAAAACCTGCTCAGACCAGTGCACCAGCAGAAGAGCAATCCTCATCAAACGAACAAGTTGATTCACAAGTTGAACAGAAGCTTGAAAGAAGTGATGTTTAGTACTGTATTCCATAGCAACTGTTCAAATATGCATTCTATATAATACCTAGTAGACACAGTTCAAAAATGTGTTCTAAATATATAATAGGCACACACACATTCACCCCTATGTATAGTAGTAGTGTACACAAGTGCATATTTTGTTTTCTGAATATCCATTCCCCTTTCATCTGACATTATATGCAGTAGTTATTATGATCACTAAATAATATCAGAGTTTTTCTAGTTTCACTCCATAAATCTGTTCTGCTTGATCTACCATGTGGCTTCAAATAAGAAGCTGATTGTCTGTTATGCCTATTATCTTGTTAGTGAAGAGAGACGTAAAAGAAAAAGAACAATATATAAGAGCATGTTGGAAATAATAATTTATTTCTATTAAAGTTGTTTCAAAATGACAAAGTGGGTGATATAGTTAATTGACAATAAATGCTTAGTCCCACATTGGAAGTGGAGTAAAATTAAATAGCATTTATAAGGCACTTGGAACAATGTAATTTCCAAAGGAGGCAAAGAGGATAAAGTGTCACATAGTCATATGTAGGGGTGTTCATGGGTGCGGGTCGACCCGCAAACCCGCCTACTTAAACCGAACCAACCCATTATTATATTATTATTTATAAATTTTAAAGTTGCTATAACTTTGTAAATTGTAACGTACTATTATTATAATTAAACATTATTATTAATATTAATCATGCTTGCTTGACTTATGCACTTCTAGTTTACACTTTACTGCCTTTTTGTTTTAGATTTTGGTGTTATTAGACCAATATTTGACCAATACATCTATGTCATTTTAAGACTAAGTGATGTTTATTTGCTTTTGAATTATTTAGAATTTATGAATTTTATGGAAATGATATTTTATGGAATTTTATATATTATTAAGTGTTAATATATATGATAGTTTACGGACCTACTTTTAAGCATGTGCTAGAAAAGGTAACATTTGAGTATCAAAACAACTAATATATACTGTATATTATTATATATTTGTTTTACATATGTTGATATATATTTGTAATGGATAACATTTGAGTATCAAAATAACTAATAAATTTTTATAAATTAAGGTATATTAATGAAAATATATAAATAATTAATGGTGTATATGTATCTTAATATTTTTTATGACAAAGAAAATACATTTCAAAATTTTAATTGTTATATTTTTAATTATTCTATTTTATATGTAGGATTTGTCTCCACTACGTAAATAATTTAATTGTTTGAAATATGAAAAATTATATTGAATTGTGTTATAGATTTTTTAAATTGAAAATAATAATTATTATATACACAACCCGTGGACCCAACCCTACCCAACCCGTAAATATCCGGGTTGATTCAGGTCGGTTTTTAAAGTAGAATTACAGGTTTGATGATAAACCCAACTCATTGAAAGTTGAACGGGTTGGGTAACGGGTTAAGGCGAACCCGGTCCAACCCAACCCGCGTACACCCCTAGTCATATGTGGTGGTGCCAAAATTTATGTCACTTGTCTCATACAAAACACCCCTCGCCGGTGTCGCCACCGGCGACTCCGGCTCCGAAACTGGATCCGAGGGCGTGGGCGTAGAGGCGCTAGTGGCGGCTTGTAGACGAAACTTGAGCACTTGAGCACGACGCATCGAAGCAATCGGGCTATTCGCGGCGTTAATGAGAGTGTGCTTGAAATACTTTTAAGGAAAGTGATTTCGTTCATGATTCAGTCTAGATCCATTCGACATTGAAGAATTATTTAACAGAGCATACTCTCAAGAAAGTGTTGTTCTATATAGTCTACCCCACTTATGGGAGAAGGCTTGGATGTTGGTGTAGAGTCTCAAGAAAAGTTATAAAAACTGTTGTTATAAGCTCCTTTCCTTTACCTAAACATATTGGCATCTATGCAACAATATTCTATCATTTTACGTGCCATAAACTGATATAATGTAAAATTCTGGCTTTCCACACAATGGATGTCACTGTCAAGGTTATGACATCCAATGTGACATTCACCACAAACTAACTATTATGCAGTAATTGTAAAGCAGTAAATTACACAGTTAATTGTTGACCCAGTTCAGTGCAACACACTTACATCTGAGGGCTACCAAGCCAGGGAGGAATTTCACTATCAGTAGAATTAATTCAGAGTTAAACCTCCAGTTTACACTCCTCACTTAAAACCTACCCAATGACAATTTAGCCTAGAGACACTCTAGACCTGAGTATACCCACTCACTCACTACAATCACACAACAATAATATCAGTTACAATTACAAAAGACAGAATTTAGAAGAGACACTTCAAAGTCACAACACTTGGTTTTGCTTCACAGCTTCAACCAAGAAAAACACACTCTTGTTTAACAGCTTCGAGTGGTACACAACCTAGAAACTACCTAGCCAATGCAATCAACAGTTGCTTGGATTACAAGTAATTCTAAGACACAATCGTGAAGAACAACCTCTTCACTTCTAAATCACTATGGTGATTTCTCTGCTTTTTAGACTCTTACTGCACACTTGCTGATCTTCTATATCTGTAAGAGCTGCTCTTTAGGATTGCATCATCTGTTATTTATAGCAGCTGCAGTCCTTTGGGCCTTGGTGCATAAGTTAGGGTTTATCCATAATAAAACCTCTCTTCAGAATTCTGCACGCTTGCCACTTTACATAGGGACATTTTAGTACTCTCAAAGCTTCTAAAATGTTTCCTGAATCCCAGCTTGAGCTACTGGTTTGTTTCCTGAATTCTAGCTGTTAGAATATCAAACCTGTGCTTGATGTCATACGACCTATGTCATAACATTGTGTGTGACATCCAACTTAACTTATAGTTAGCTGTTATAACAGTCATGTGTTTGATGTCATATGACCTATGTTATGACATAGAGTGTGACATCCAGCTTAACTTATAGTTAGCTGTTATATCTCAACCTGCACAGTCCATTTAATGATAGTAGAAACATCTAACATGATATTCATACTTGCACTACATTTATGCCATAAAGTGCAGCCAATCAAGAGCACTTACAAACTCCCCCTTTGGAAATTTTTTGGCTAAAACACTTTGTACTTACCCAGAGATTACCACACAGCAGAAGACTTACCATAGGTCCTGTCATGCAGGAAGATCACTATTTGCTCAAGCTCTCAGAGTCCTCACAGTTAGTTGTCAGCCCTGTTAGCAGTCACTTTATTAACCATCTGATAGTTCTCACTTCAGATGTCACTCCCCCTCAAATGATGCACTTATCAGCTGGGCACTTTATCTCACACCCTGCAGATATCCAGTCAGAACTGGATGTTATGACATTCAGCATAACCTTCTGATGTCCCCCTCTGTGCTACTCCCCCTGCAGGGATGCACACTGATCTCATTCTGCTCACACATTGCAGACACATATGTGGTTAGCATCCTAGTTCTACCATACAACCCTACTCAACCTAGGCATTCATATATAGCATCAGCACAATACTATACTAACAACACTAATCAGCTGTTATAACACATCTAGTATCACAGATTTCTAACAGTTCTAGCAACCCTTAGCAGCACCTGCACAGTCTCAACTCATATGTACAATGGTACATATGCACCACCCTGTTGTTCCGCTTGATGTACCTGTTGTTGTTCTCATCTCAGATGCACATTGGTGCATAACCTGCTGTTGTTCTCATATCAGATGCACATTGGTGCATATGCACAAGCACACATTTACTTGTTCTTCCACCTGCAGTTCTCTATCATATTTCTCCCCCTTTTTAGCCACAAATTAAGATACAACTAACAACTAGCATATATCATAAGGTGTAACAATACATATGTTTGGGGCCACACCATAACAAAACTGCTCTTTGAAGAGCATCACAAATACCATTCATGCTGATAACAGAAAAAATAAACCAACAACAAACTTGATCCCTCAGCAGTGGACTGAGGCACACCCTCAGTCATCAATCTTCTTCATCAGAGGATGAACTAGAGTCACTGCTATCCAAATCTGACAGAGATATGTCTTGATTTCCATCATACGAGTTTTCTGGAATATCTTCATCTGGCCCCCGGATAGCTAGAGGCACGGTGAAGCCCTTAACAAGCAGTCCTTTCTTAATGATATTATCAGCAATTTCCCCCATGGATTTTGTTCACGTACGTCGTGCCTTCCTTGTTCATAATTCTCCTAAGTTCTTCTTCAGTGGGAGGAGGACCCTAGTGCTTTGGTTTCTCAGTCGTGGGAGGCGTATCTTTGGGGAATTTGGGAGCGGACTTAGAGGAAGATCCTTCATGATGGGAGGCCATGTTGTTGTCGTGACTGAGGGTCTGGGAGAGATGTTGAAGGATAATGGGGGCAGCGAGATACGTTTGTGCGAGGTGGAGAGTTTTATTGGTCAAAGCCTTGGACTGCATTAAATTTTTAGAACTCTCACGTGTCATTAATTGTTATGCCTCTTCATACATGCAAATACCCAATTTAACTCTACGAGTTTCACCTTGAGCACCTCCTAATTCCTTTGAACAAGTTTCAGCTAGTTGTGGTTCAGTGGACACACGTTCTAAGAAGTTTACTTTGTCTTCCATAATGTCCAAGTGCTTAGTTCTGCTGAGCTGGATTGGAATTTTTGAACCGTTAGAAGCATTAAGATTGTCATAATACAATGTCATGACATCCTGAGTGACATTGTACTCAGTTGTCATTTGCTTCATCCAGAGCAATTTAAAACATATTATACTAACTACTGTATGATCAGCTCCATCAGTGGAAAAGGAGACAACCTCTTGCTTTTTGCTGAGCCAAGACATTTGGTTGTTTCCTAAGAGGAAGTATCCACCAGTTGTGCTCTTTCTGCCAGCACAGTACCGAGACAAGATAGGATCATAGTTGCAGACTTCATTCATGCACTTGAGACTCCTTTTCACTTGATTCATGTGACTTACACATATGTCAGTAGCAAGAGTACATTCAGATCTGCTGGCTACTTGATCTAGAAGGTTTCTAATCAAGCC